AAAGGGGCTCTGATAGGGGACGTCATTTTCTTTTTTCCCCTGTACGTGACCAAAGTCCAATGTTCCCACGTATCGTACTGTATTGATTCACTTGCGACTGGGTTTTCTGATGTAAGTCGCTTTCCGCTCCTCCGCTATGTTTATTACCCTTTTCTGCCATCCCTGAGTAGGATTTTATGGTGAAGGACCTGTCTGAGTTTCTTCGGTTTTTGCATGTCATTCATGACGATAGGGATTTCTTGAAGGCTCATATATAAGTTCATGGTGAAGGGTAACGAAATGTCAATAAATCGGTCGACTTAAAAAATCTATGTTCTTTAATATCGCAACCACCAGCGCATTCTTGTTTCCAGCATGGTAGGAAAGGGGGCATTCAGGCATACATCGTGGTGTTAAGCAGGTGCTTTGCTTCACGCGAGCATCGCCATAAGGTTAATCCTTTGGTGGGCTTTTTTCGATACTATATGTATAGTCGAAGTTCACTGAAAAGCATTCCACTCAAGAAATTTCGAGAGCCCTTCAGCCTATTTTCGGTTGAAAATCGAACTTCCTTACACTGACGAAATCAATCGACTTCACAAGCGTAGGGTCGGTTCCTCTTGACCGTCGTCACTTCCGTCTATCTACGACAGCCTAGAAATATGGCTTTTCCAGAAGTAAGCCTAGGAGGGAATGAGCGCCGATGCGGTTGAATCACTCGGAAGTTCAGTTCTTCTCCCATCTCAGTTTTTTGCACGAGGTATACATCCACACAACCCGGTGCTCCTCCCTCTAAAGTAGACATTGTATTCCCTTGGATAAAAACAATCTGTGAGCATAAGTAAAGTCTGTCCTTCTCCTCCAACCCTTCTCTCTCTCGCTTTAACCCGCTATATTGGAGAGGAGCGGTCCTCTCCCCCCAACTACACCTTTACCCTTCGCTCATATAGCTTTAGTGGTTTATTTCACTCGTAGAACATGAGCACTCTAAATTGTTTACAACAGAATCTCCCAGCCCAACCAATTTAATAACATTTTTTGTGCTTTTGTTTTTTTTAATTGTTGTTTGTCTTAAATCATAAGTTTGATGTTCACTTTTCTATTTTCCATCTACATATGGCCTTTTTCGATCTTTATTTTTAAATCTGAGATTTGCTGTCTAACAAATGGCCGCTTGCATCGCCATTACTGTGTAGCCCATTACTTCAAAAAAAATGCGTGGACTAGGAACGCTTCTACACGTACTTTATGAAAATCTCCCCGGCAATTTTGATGGAATGATCATATTTCTGGTAGCTGTTCAGCAAATATGTCCTTTCTAGGGCTTCGGACAAGGATCGGTCCGTTGATGTCTTCCGGGAATCTCTATCGGCCGTGTTTCAGACGATTTCTTCTCGTGCATGAATTTTCGTCGTTCGATGGTCGAAAAGAATTGCGGAAGGCAGATGATCGATTTGTTATAGAATTGGGTCCAAGTCGCGGAAGTTTTGGCAAAAGAAGCGTTTTAAACCTTCATTATATTTGTAATGGTACTGCCATTACAAAGGAATAAAGGTCTAAAACGCTTCCCTTGCCAAAACGCAAGGTCATTCGTGCTGACTAAATGGTCCTGAATGCTCATCGTGGATCTGCTTAACAAATTTGTAAAACCATTCTCTGAGCGAGGAGTAGGGGTAGCGGGTCTTCAATTTCGTGAGGAGATCGGTTCCGCTACATTTTTGAACAGCAATGAGTGGGGAGCGGAGTGGAAGGAGTCTTAGGGTCGGAATCGAATGGCCGTATGTGGCGGTTTAGGCGGTTTGAAGGGTTTATCAATATTTTCTAACAGGGGTACACCCGGGTGAGCACCATCTAATAATGACCCGGTTTTCGCGAACCGATCTATTAGTAGTACTCGGTTTAGTGTTTTCTCTGAGTTGGGACTTTTTTCATGTACGTGTACGTACCGACGGGGTGTGAGCTCATGACACCTTTTTTTCACTCAGCACAGCTCGTTTGTTTTTTTCGGCATGTCAGCTAGCTGACCTCTCAATTCCACTTCGGGTCTTCCCAGTTTTTCGCTTCCCAAATTGAGAATATAGATCCGAGATCAGCATTCAAGAACACGTCTATTGAATATGGCGCATGACAAATGGCCACTTTGACTTGGACCCTTTTCTTGAGAGAACTGCTATGCTCAGCAGAATTGAAAAGATACTGATCTGTTCATTTGTGATTATTGCCATTATTGATTTGTGTTCGATGTTCATAAAGATTTTTCTTGTTGCGGGTCTCGGAGACGGAATCTGCTCGAAGTGATCTGAATTTAAAGTCCGAGGAGACTCCGTCTTCAAGACCTTTTTGTTGATGTGATAATGTTCTTGTATTGGACGTAAGTAAGGGTGAGTAAGCAGGGTGAAAGTATGTATGAGTGTGGATGAAGTGATTTGTTTATGGTTTTAAAAATGCAGGGTCAGAATTAGGGTTTGAACAGTTTAGTGGTTGGGGATTGGACGATAAGGCAGAGGCTTCCCTCTTTTCGGTCGTGTTCCACCTCATATACGAAAAGAGTATTCCAAAAAGCTCTACGGGGAGACAATGCTAGGGAAAAGCAGGTTTACGGGGGTAAGGGTGTAGTATTTTGCAGTGGTATGGGTTTCGATCAGGCTATTACTTGAGGGAACTGTCTAGGTGGGTTGAGCAGGAGATGCTCCGTTGGTTACTTCATTTATTATTTCACCAGTTGCTCCTCCCGGTTTACGCCGGGCCCTCATTCCTTACATATAGTAAGCAGTTAGAAGTGTCCCTCCCCCTCCCCCCCCACTTGAGTGAAGAAATTTAGAGGAATGTAGAATATAGCTGGGTTATCCATATCACTGCCTTTATCGTAATCATAAAGTTTGCGGACGGACACACCGACAGACATACCGACAAACCGACACACCAAGATTCTGCTTTATAATAAGAGAGATAAGTGATAAGTACCGGGGCAAGGGGGAGGGAGGGAAGAATGGATTTTTTGAAGTCTTCAGGGGGCGAGAGGGCGAGAATGTGTTGAGAACGATGAAGTATCTAGAAAATGTTGACGTGGGCTCTGTAGTCTGGGAGTGTTTCAAGGGATTCTGGGGATCTTTAGAGACTAATGAGGGTATTTTTTTGAGGAAGTTATCCAGGTGGTCCAGGTGAAAGAGTGGGAAGAGGGTTAGATTGTTAGGGAAAGGGGAACATTTGCGAAATTTCTGTGATAGTGAGATTGCTCTGTTATTTGGGGAGCTACTTAGGGAGGAGAAATACATTTCGCAGATGTGGTGATTCCATGTAAGCCCAATGTTTTCCCAAACATCTAGCCTTCTTCCCACTTCTTTATCTAAGACACTCTTTGTAAGGATCGTAGAAAAATTCAGGATTGTGCCGCTGTTTCTGACCTTGCATTCTCGAAGGTAAGTCAGTGTGAGTGATCGAGTGAGGGAAGGATAAGCCATGCGATTGAAGTCTTTCATTTGAAAAGGGGGAGAGGGGGAGGGGACTGATTGTCGGTTCCGAGAAGAATTTACTAGTTGAAGGATACGTTTATGTAAGGGAAAGTATTTTGAAGTTGAGTGGGGTTGAGGAAAGCTAATCCGTAGGGGAATGATTTATGTGGGTTGAATAGTATATGTTTAGTGCTGTTAAAGTAAAGTACTAAATGGGATTCTAGATGAGTCTTAGCGAGGGAATGGGGAGAACATGCTCGGATAAATTCGGTATATGGCAGTTGTTGGCTAAGGATTTGAACGAAGTAGCTATAAAAGCAGTACTGAATGATAAAATCGTCATGGCTTATCCTGAGAGCTGTAGTACAGTTTTGCGTGTTTGTGAGACACATAATCCACATTTCTATGCCCTAAAGTCCCATGGGGAGTAGGTAGGTTATAGAATCCCATTTACATGAACGATGGAGGGGGTGGTTAGGGATAGGGTGCATGGGAGGGTGCTTGAGGGATGAGCTGAGATGATTACGGTTACAATATGGGATGGTGGGAGTAGCTGCTCTAAACTATGGTGGGAGTTCGGCTTTTCCCTGCAGAAAGTTAAGCCGGAAATAGAAACCGAAGTTGAGGTGTTCTATGAAGAGTAACTTTATAAAAAGGTATGGGAAGAAGATGATATGATAGATTGGAACAGAATCCAGTGTCGGAAAAAGTTGGTCTGTGTTAGTTAGCCGGCAAATTAAAATACTGACGGGAACTAATATGACTCAGATTAGTGTAGGAGCCCTTTCTCTTCAGACAAGCTCAGTAGAAATTCATTGCCTCTAGGAGATGTAGAGGTTTTTCTGGAGGCAAATTGAAATGGGCTAAGGAATACAGTATTATGAGACTAAAACTTTCCTTTGATCGATGGGGAGGCCCAGTTGAACCGTTTTTATCGATAAAATGAGGACTACAAGGGCATAGAAATGTGAAAATACATCCCACTTGGGATCGGTCTAATTGTTCCCGTTTTTTATTTCTCTCCTCTGAATCTAAGCCATGTAAAAGTTTCGGATTTTTCTCGAACAATATGACTGATTTCAAGGGTGATGCGTGCAGGGAGAGTGGTCCATGATATGAGTCAGACGATATGCAGCTATTTTGGAGAAAATTTTTTTTTTGCCCCTCGGGGTGATTTTGATAACTTAAACTGGTTGAGAAATGGAGAAAATAGATATTTCCAGTCCTCACCATTATTGTCACCTCTTCTTGTGTATGTCGGTGTCAATGTTGTGTCGGTGTGTGTGTGTGGGTGTGCCGGTGTGTGTGTCGTGTGTGTCGTGTGACTTCTGTTTTTTTTCGTTTTTTTGTGTTTTGTTCAACACAAGTTGTGCTGCAGCAATTTATTTACAAGTTATGCAATAAAAATACAATACAAAACAATGTTTACATACAATGTTTACGAATTCTATCCTACCTAAGCGCCCACCCTAAGTTTTCCCGCCCCTTCCCCCCACGCTCGCGCACGCGCGTTATCTTCGGTTTCCCACCGATGGACTCGACTTGTCGAAGTTTCTTCGAGGTCTCCAGATGGGGCGTGCCTTGCGACGTCAGGCATCCCCTTTGTTTCACACCCCTCTCCAGCGCAACCAAGTCTGCACATTAGCGGGCGATGCCGGTAGCAGATGGATCCACAGAACGACCACTCAGGAATGTGGCACCTTGCTCGTCCGAATGAGCAGTCTTCCTCTATGGGAAGCGATCGATAGGGTCCTTGATGGCATTAGACCATACCAATCAATGCCCACGAACATATGCGATCTCAGCAAGAATTTCGACACGGTATCGATCTGCTGACTGCAAAACGAGGGGCGAAATTGGAACGTTTCGCATGCGATTTTTGCGCAACTGCTGTACGAGATGCCGTTCGATTTCTGGCAAGTTATAGTTCCGCTTGGCTATTAATTAGGGATCATCAGCGATGGTCACGTCTGGGGTATGTGAGGGTAGCCGTCAAACTGATTGTATGATCTGATCGATTTTTCTTCTTCGTCAGAGCTCCCAACAGCAGGATCTACTGGAAAGTTGAGAGTTACTGTCATGAGGAAGTAGGGAAAAGGCGCTTTCTATGGACGGTTAACGGTTAAGATGCTCCAAACTTTCGCGCGTCAAAACAGCACACACATTTGGAAAACTCAACGACACATTCGAAGCAATTACCTTGGCCCGAAAGCAGCATTTCATAGTAAGTTCTGCGAAAAAAGTGAGGGACAACTCCGCGAGGGATAATAGTCTTGCCAGTATTGGTACTCATACGGGATTTCACAGCCTTTATCAGAACCCACGAATACTCTGAATTCATGCTCCTTCCGCCAGAAAAACAGCAAAATTCCGCAGCTCTCAATGCTCAGAAGCCGCTGAGAAGTCTATAAAAAGCTTTCATGGCACTACTTCGTACACCATTGGATTTGTGAGGACGTTCTGGCTCTGGACAAATCTCTGAAAAGATGGTCTTCTGTGAACTTTGGCAAAGTCTTCGCTGCACTGCAATAAACGAATTTCACGACAACGACCACACACTTGCAGACAAGGAGTATTTCTAAGATTTTTGACAAAACTGGAGGATTTCATGTACTCTTGGATCGTATCGTAATCGCTAAATTTCTTTAAAAAAATAGTTTCCACAAATGATACTGTTCAATTTCTTTTCCGTTCCTTTACCAAGTGGGTAACGGGGTTGAAGACGGAAAAATAAAATTTTCTCTACTATTTCAGTGCGCTCAGAGACCGGCATCAATAACATAGGTTCAGGGAAGTGATAAGGACAAATGATGGTAATGATAGAGACCGTGATAGGGTGAGCAGAGCTGAACTCAGAAATGTATAACCCTGTTCAAGGAAGTTTTAGGGATCGAAGACAAAACTTAGAGATGATCAGCAAAGTGGAAGTGTAATATTCTCAGTGAGCGAGGCTTTTATTGAGGAGCGGTCAAAACTGAAATTGACAACCCCGTCCCAGACCTTTCCGAAGGTGAATTGTGACTAGTGAGGAGCAATTCTCGGTGGGAATATTCGACAGCTTGGTTTCTGAGGGTTCTAGCTACCGAGGAAAAAGGGAACGGAGATAAGTGTGTACGCAGAGAGCACACATCCCTACCCTGCGATGGATTGAACAGGTTCGAAATCTAAAGCAGGATCCCTGTTGTTATCTCCTTTAATCCGAAAAAAGACTATGTCGGGACTAGCAGACACCATGAAACAATGGTGAGGGTGTCTACCAAGGCGAAAGGAGTCAAAATTGAAGATTAAAGATAACCCAGTTTTGAACGTCCCGAAGACCAGGAAAACGGTGGGGGGGGGGGGGGGGGGGG